TTTAGTTTACACTCGAAGTGGATTGGTCCCTCTAAGCGAGATCCCAATTTCGTCGGTCAACCGACGTGACGTCTCCGTTCCCTCCTTCAGGGAACGAGGGTTACATACGTAACCGAGACGTTATCTTTATTGAACTTTTTTCTTTTTTTTTTTACTTTTTGTGTTTATGATTATGTTTTTAATGTTTACATTAGAAATGTCATGCAGTCTGTTCTCAATATTCATCATTTTTATTTACAAGCACATTTTCTAATATTCTGTTTCTTTTAGAATTTTATTCAGTAGTATATATTGACATAACTGAATTTTGTGAAAATTACAAACATTCTGAATCAAAGGGATTCAGACCTTTTCAGTATGGCAGGATACTCTATATGCATCATGTTAAATAGGAGGAACAGTTGCTTACAGTGGCATCTACAGATGCAGCCTTTAAAAATGTGATTTTTTTTTTTTTTTGTCGCAAGCGTTCTCAGAATCCACTGTTAGTTCTAGTATTTGGATTGATGGACACACTGTAGAAGCTGAACAGCAGATTTGCTTTTCAGCTCAGAGCCTTGTGTAGCTGTTTCAAACGCACACTCACACACACAACATACACTTTTGCTCTCCATGAGATCGAGAGATCGATGCTGCAACTCATGAATCGGTTGAGGCTTTGGGCAGTGGAAGGCCTTTATCTGTTTTCATCTGCTCATATTTAGTGCTGTCAGCTTTCCCCCATCGATCTTCCCCTCCTTATCAGTGCTATTACACCAGCACTCTGCTTCAACCTGCTGGCATTAGAACCTCTGTGATTTCTTTTGAATCAGTGCTTATGATTTTTTCTTTTTTCTTTAGTAGTTTGCAAAGATACACTACTGTTAAATATTTTTGGTAACAATTTATTACAAACCACTTACTTGCAAACTATTAGTTTATAGTTTAGAATCTGTATTATTAATACAGTAGTAGGATTTATGTGAATAGTAATAATAATTATTAATAATAATAATAATAATAATAATTTATGCATTTAGCAGATAGCAAATAGTGAGTTCTTCTTTCATTTTCACTGTAATACACACATTATTATTGTTTATTTAGCTCATTTGCAGGGGCGAATTTAGTGAATTGGGGGCCCCAGGCAAAATATAGGAATGGGGCCCTATACATTTGCACACATTTTCCTAGATCAACCTTGAGGTTCCATTTTGTTGTTTTCAGCATAAGCCTGTGTG